TTGTAATTACATGGTAATAAGGTAGTAATTACATTTAATTATTTTTATTACCTTGTAATTACATGGTAATAAGGTAGTAATTACGTTTTATAAATTTTTAGTACTTTGTAATTACATGGTAATAAGATAGTAATTACATTTATTTATATTTTATTACCTTGTAATTACATGGTAATAAGATAGTAATTACATTTAATTATATTTTATTACCTTGTAATTACATGGTAATAAGGGTACTGTAAAAGAAAGCGTTACTGATTAAATAGCAGCTGTTGTGTAATTATTGTCCTGAATTTTTTTAAGTTGTTTTAGTTTTGAAGTTGAGCAGAGCTTCAGACTGACAGAGCAGTTGGAAACTCTTCATCTTCCTCGTTGTGTCTCTGCTGCCTCCAGGTAACACCTACAAGTACCAGGCAGGAAACAGGATGAACGCCTTGCTGTGGTTCAAACACCTGAGCTCTGCCTGTCAGAGCAACAGGCAACAGGTAGAGACACACACTCCCCACACGTGTGTGTGTCACTGACATGCTGTGAAACCATGTCCTTGTTTTTCTCAGGTGCCAGCCAATCTGATGTCGTTTGAGTGACATGTGGTGAGACGTTCAGCTGAGGAGAAGGTTGAGGAGGAGGGAGAAGCTCCTGTTCTCATCTCAACCTGCCACCACTGCCTTAACCAGAGTTTGTAGTGTGTGTGTGTGTGTGTGTGTGTGTGTGTGTGTGTGTGTAAATGTCTCCTGTGGATAAACTGACCACTGAACAAGGACCTGGACCATCGATGTTGTCTCCTGTCTTCTCTGAGTGGAGCCCTTATGTTTGACCTCACTGTCAGTCCTGTTATCACCGGAGACATGGACCTTTCTTCTCTTCATTTATAGGAGCAAACTAGTTTGATTCTAGCCCCACCCTGTGCTTAAATGTAGAAGCTCCATCTCTTCTCTGAATGAWCACAATCTCAACACAAATGGACATCAAACACATGCTCCCTTGATGGTTCTTGTGCTCAGTTATTTTGTCATTTGTGTTGCTTAAAGTCAGTGAGTTATTTCCACGAGTCATGCTCTCACAGATCCCCCTGCACAGAAACTGGTTTTATTGTTTTGTTGTAAATGTAAGGGCTCCGATTTGCAATAAGTTCCAGCAGAAACGGTTCTCACATTTTCTGAACTTGAGTTTTTAAACGCACCCCTCTTTTTGTCATGTACTAAATTCACTGTGTGTGTGTTTGTGTTTGTAACTGAATTTTTGGGAGTTCTTTAAATGTGAGAGAAGTTACACGTGGTTCTCGGTGGTACGAAATTCCCAGAATCTAAGCTAAGGTGTGTTCAAGGTTAGGCAGGTGTATGGGCTGCTGTTTGTAAAGTTACACAGTCAAAAATTACCACCAATATTTTTGTTTTATTTAGTTTTTGTTTGTTTTTGTTTTTTTTTTTAAACCTGCAGTGGTTTGTGTTGTCTGTTGGCCACCATCAGATGACGGACACACACTGCTGGCTTCACTGGACTC